GCACTATGTCTATATCGTTGTAAAGCTCATACAGCTCATCGTTAAATCGTCTGCGATATTCGCCATCACCAACGCGTAAAGGTCCGTAAATCTTTCGCAGAATCTTTCTCTCGAAAACTCCAAGAGCCGCCTCATCAGATGCTTTCATTGTCCATGCTTCCGCGCCATACACCAGCACAGGCATGATGAGTGACTTATAGAGTGTGATCTTTGTACGACGAGAGAGGACTTTACTTCTCAATTGCCTACTCAGCCCAAAGTAGCACTTGTTGGCAAGAGTGATTCTCCGTTGGATTTCAAGGCTGACATTATTATTGGTGTTAATGCTGGTTCCCAAATAAACGAAGTCGTCTACTTTTTCAAACTTGTAACTGTCAACAGTGACGTGGGTGCCAAGACGCGTATGCTCTGACTGTTTGTGTGCTGACAGGAGATACTTCGTTTTGTCCTCGTTCACCACCAGACCCATTCGCTTTGCTTCTCTATCCAATCCCGAGAAGGCAGAACAGACGTAGCCCTTGTTTTTACCGATAATATCGATGTCGTCGGCATACGCCAGCAATTGTACGCTCTTATAAAGTATTGTGCCTGAGCGGTTCAGTTCTGCGGCCCTTATTATCTTCTCCAACATAAGATTAAAGAAATCACACGAAAGTGAGTCCCCTTGTCTGAAACCTCGTTTGGTATCAAACGGCTCGGAGAGGTCCTTCCCTATTCTGACGGAGCTGGTGGTATTGCTCAACGTCATTTTACACAGCCGTATTAGTTTCGCGGGGATACCAAATTCAGACATCGCGGCATAAAGGCAACTTCTCTTCGTGCTGTCGAAAGCGGCTTTGAAATCGACAAATAGATGGTGTGTGTCGATCCTATTCTCGCGGGTCTTTTCCAAGATTTGGCGTATTGTGAATACCTGATCTATGGTGGATTTTCCAGGCCTAAAGCCACACTGATAAGGTCCAATCAGCTCGTTGACGGTGGGCTTCAGTCTTTCGCACAATACGCTCGATAAGACCTTGTAACCTATGCTTAGAAGGCTAATTCCGCGGTAGTTGGCGCGTATGGCGGGGTCGCCTTTCTTGTGGATTGGGCAGAGCACACTTAAATTCCAGTCGTCGGGCATGCGTTCATCTGACCATATTCTGCATACGAGCTGATGCATGCACCTCATCAGCTCCTCGCCGCCGTACTTGAATAGCTCGGCTGGCAGGCCGTCAGCTCCAGCAGTTTTGTTGTTTTTCAGCCGCGTAATCGCTATTCGTACCTCGTCATAGTCAGGCGGTGGGACAGCTACTCCATCATCATCGACTGGGGACTCGGGTTCGTCTTCCTGATGAGAGATATGATATGCTGTGTGAAAATTCCGTTTTATGGGAGGTGCCACGCCCCCTCGTATAATCGAGATTAAATCTATCCTATCTTTTAAGTTGGGCTAAATAACACCAGTGCACAAAATTTAATGGGAATCAATTGAGTAGTTAAAGCGTTAATGTGTAACAAACGCTTTCGGATTTATAATATTAATAAGGATGGAAACCCTACCTAGACTTCAATCTGTGGAACTTTCATCAAAATCCTTAAGCGCTGGTTATACTTGCATTGAGCTGCAGCGGTGTCAAACTATCGATGGTACTATCGATAGTTTTATTTTTTTGCCCCTATCGATGAGTAGTAGCAATGTTAATCCCTTTTAAAGGTCTCGAAAATCCCGGGATCCTTGGCAAGAAATCCCGGGGTTTTCGGGATTTGTAACTTGCACTGATGGCAATGGATGGAAGTTTCTATAACTCTTTTTCTTGACCAGTATTGGCTATACTTCTTTCTTTATTTAATAATTAATATTTTTTTATAAATGTCTAGCTCATTATACATATAACACCGCGCGATAGTAAATTTTAAACACAAACATCAATATATTCGCGAAATCATGGGCCAATTGAAAAAATAAAAACGCCACTTTAAATAAAAAAGTAGATTCAAACCCATTTATTTATTATTTATTTCATGGAAGGAGAACTTTTCAAACAATATACATAGAAGTAATTTTTCGACTCAAGTGGATAAAAAGTAATGAATATCTAAATCCCGTGACTAATCCCGGGATTGTGAGAACGCAATCCCGAAAATCCCGGGATCGGAAAAAGCCGAAAAATTAACATCCCTAATGAGTAGAGATAGGTTTTCTCAAAAAGCTTAAACTATCGATAGTACTAGTTGACTGCAATAGTTTAAAACCTGTAGCGTTTGCAATTTTTTATAATAAGTGATCCTTTCATTGTGATTCCTCCTTTAATGGTCGTTTTCTCAGGCAACCTTTAATTGAAAAGCTGCCTTCATATTTAAATGGTAGGCTTAGAATTTTATTTTTAACTGTAAGCTTCAGTAGATATGTAAATAAATAAATAAATAAAAGTCGATAACAAAAAGCTTTACTTAGACAGAACTCATGGTGAAATTATACCAAGTGTAGTAATAAGAGCGAGAAGAAGGATTTAACAATTTGAAAATTTACCTTGAAAAATAAAATAGCCGAATGTCAACTACGTAAAATAAAGCAATATTTTCATCATGGAAAGGAATCTTTAAACATAAAATTAATTTTACAGTTAGGACCGTTTTCTCAACTAACCTGTAACCTTAAAGCTCACTTTATATTTAAAGGTTGCATTAAAATTTATGATTGTGCCTAAAGTAAAGCATTTTAATACCGGTTTTAAAATGGTTTACAACCAAGAAACATACAGACGCCAAACACCGATAATAGAAATGCTTAACTTTAAACATAGCTTTATTTTTTATCCAAACTTTAAATATAAATTGAGCTTTAAAGTTAAGGGTTACTTCATAAAACGGCCCCATTTAAGTGTGTTTATATTCTCAATATTTTTTTCTTTCGATGCCGTCCTGGTTAATTTGGAACAGTTGTTAACATTATATTGACTATCGATGGTAGCGTTTGACACTATGTATTGATAGTATTGCCGCAAACTATCAATGAGTAATGATAGTTTTTTTCTGAAACATCAAATCTATCGATGAGTACTGCAACATATCGAATCTATTTAATGAGCTTTGGACACAAGCGATTATCCGACGCAGCGCATGACAGGGCATGACAGCGAAGTCTGGTGAATTTTGAAAGAGAGATGCCACTCTCATTGCTCTCATTAGTCTGTTCCAGTACCCATAAGATTCTTCTTGAACATACTTTGGGGCATATGTATTTATTGTCGAAGCAAAGTCGATTGTAAAGTTAGTTGCCGCTATTTCACTGAAAATTATGACAAAAAGCAGCAACTAACTTTAGTGTCGACCTCAGTTGGGATATGAATACGCATTCTTCAGTTATGTCTTTCTAACGAAATCCTGGAGTACTGCAACAGACTAACTGATTATATTAAGCAGCTGATTCTGGGAGATTATGCGCTTTATTCCGAGCATAACTACACCACTGCTTCACATGCGCTGCTTCTATTTGCCCTGCATATGCAATGTAAGTATTACCAGCACTTTAAAGGTCGCGCACAGAGGTGGCCACGGTTACGTGAAATGCCTCAAATGAGTCTCATATTAATATTATTTCTGCAATTAATAGCTATTTCTTATTATAATCATTTTTTAATTTTTAAATTGATACTTGACACTTTATAAAGCACATTTGACACTTTCTAAAGTAAATTTTCTTGTTTCTAAAGTACACTTGATGTTTTATAAAGTACGTTTGACTAATCTACGGCAAATGTGAAGATTTCTGAGGTGCATTTGATAGGTACAAAGCACATTTGACGCCTTCTAAAGAACATTCGACTATTCTCAAGTTCAAATGATATTTTCTAAAATCGAATTGACCTTTTCTAAAATCAAATTGATATTTTCGAAAATATTTTTGAAAAAGGTGTAGACGAAAGTAATAGGCATGTACATAGCCCAACCTCAAATAAACGCATGCTGTTTGTTTACTCACTCCCTTTAATTTGTTTTTCTGCGTCACCCGAATTATGTAGGCTTGCGTGCGTTTGCTTTTGATTTCGCTGAGCGAAACGTAAAATCAAAGCCTCACGCAGACCAAAAATTGGAAATTGAGTTAAGTCCCTATAAAAATATTTAGGTATTTGAGCATGATAAATTTTTTACAGATACATATGTAATTGCCAACGTGTGTAAGCATCAGTCTTGCCGCGAATCATTTTTAGTTGTAGCCAAATTCCTTTTAAAAACAGGGCTAAAAAGAGTTTTAAAAAATTGGTTGTGGCTAAAAATGGTAGCTAAAATTTTTTACTTACATATATGTACATATAAAAGGGCAAATACACGACACCAGCTTGCTGGCACCATCAGGCTTGAAGCATGTAATATACCAGCTTGCTGGTACAATATTTATTTCTTTACAAATGAGGTCCAAAAAATACCAAAATGATTAGAGCCGAAATCTCATAATTTTTCCAAAAACACGGCTTTGACTCATGTAGTGCAAGAAATTTTAGGTAAAATTCTTTAAAAAAAGAGCTAATTTTACCTTTCGCGATACCAGCATGCAGGTACAATCATCAAATTTTGAGATCGTTTTTGATGTCGCACCAGCACAGGTACAATCACACCACAAAAACACACACGGTCAATCCGCTGGCACTAATACTTGGAGGCGCCAGCATGATAGAATCATAAATGGGCTCTTTAACACATTAAGCATATTTGGGGCTGTAAACTTATCCATTTTAAAGTATAGTTAAAACCTTAACAGATAAGCTAACGCACAACAATGTGACCTGGTCTACGGAAAGGGGGCTTAGGTGTCAAAAAATCAATTTTCACTTTTTGGTTGATTCGGATGGAAGATGAGATGCTTTTTCACGTGGTGAAAAGCAGAAAATCCTAACTTGCTTAGAAGTGTACTAAAAAT